ACCCCCTGCCTGGGGCTTGCCCTGCCCACACTTGGGCTTCTCAAATGCCCCTCTCTGGGCTGGGGTCTATGTACCCCATACGCTGCGCCCCTACTGGTGCTGGGGTCCTCACACTCTGCTGTGAGTCCCCTATGAGGCCTCCTCCATCCCCTTATAGCCTCACCCAAACCACCAGTCATAACAACAACAAAGCAAAACACACAAGCCCCTAGGCTATAACTTAAACCTAAGCCACCTGGCTGTAACAACATTGCTCAACTCAGGTCATGCCGCTGCTATCATGGCTTAGGGCACTTCTACCTCTCTGGCTGCTGGCAGGGAACTGCCTCTAGCCTCAGCTCCTGGGCTTTATAAAGGCCAGGCCCTGCCCCTTCTGGTCAGCTGACCTTCCCTGGTTGCCCTGGCAACCCACAGCTGTGCTCCTTAGTCACTGCTAGGGCTCCTTCGCTAGCAGTTTTCCCCTCTTCAGGCACAGGGCACCAGGCACATGCGCATTCGTCTGGACGTGCCCATAGATGTTAGGGTCGGAAGGGACCTCAGTAGGTCATCGAGTCCGACCCCCTGCCCTCGTCAGGAAAGAGCGCTGGGGTCAGAAAAGGCCCGAGGTGCTACAACGGGAAACATTGTTTACTTTCGTTCCCACCCCTTGTCCCTCCCTCAGCCCCTCAGCAGGTAACCGGCGAACAGGGACTACAAGGCAGCTGGCTGCCGGGTGACTGCTGACCCTCTTCCCGGCGGGGAGCAGGGCCCCTCTCTCAGCTCCCCTGACTGCAGCCATGGAGGCTGGGGGGGGTGAGCTTGTACCAGGCGGGTCCCAGGGCCTGGGCTGAGGCGCCCCCTCCCCCCCCGGGCCCCATCACATGGCTCCTTTAAGCCCCACTCCGGGGGCAGTCTGCACTGCATCAGCGGGGAAGGGGCGGTGTGGGGCAGGGCGGCGCGGTCCGGTGCAGGGATAAGCGCATGAACGTGAAACATGGCTGCCCGGCTGTCAGCGGGGGCACGTTCCCGGGCAGGATGCTGAGGAGCCTGTGCAGGGGTGCCACATGTGTGCGTGCACTCGTGAGGAGGAAACACAAGGTCACACTCGCGCCTTCCTCCTCCTCCTCCTCCTTGTCCTCCATGGGAGCTGGGGGTGAGGAGGGAGGTGGGCTGCGCACGTGTGGCCGTGTGTGAAGACCGGGCTCCTCGTCCCCGATGGAGCTGGGCAGCGTCCTGAGGTGCTGCTTCTCCTCCTTGCTGCTGCTGCTGGAAGCCAACAGCTGGCTGCTCCTCTACGGCTTCTTCTACCTGGTGCTGTACGCCCAGGTGTCCCAGGGCAAGCCTGCATTACACTTCTTTCATTCACTGAGAAGTGAGGAGAAGTGAAAGTGTTTATTTTAGTCAAGTTGGGTATTATTTCATTGTTGCTTTTATATTGTTTTTATTTTGGATTTTAAACCACATTTCCAGACCCAGTTCATTGTCACTTCCTGCAGCTTCATTGGTGTCAAAGGTCACGTGACATCACTTCCTGATGTGATACCACTTCCTGTGAGGTCTTTGAATATGGCTCGCCAGCCCACTGGGTGATTAAAAAGTTCATGGTCTGGCCCCACATTCAAAAAGGTTGGGCACCCCTGAAATAGAGCATCTCCTATTCCCTGCTGCCCTCCCCTGATGAATTTACAGGCAGCCACAAGATCACCTCTCAGCCTTTTTTTGTGAAGACTGAAGAGATCTAGTCCCTCAGTCTCTGCTTGTAGGGCCTTGCCTGCAGGCCTCTGACCGTATGAGTGGCCTCCTCTGAACCCTCTCAAGATTCTCGGAACTTCGAGATAACGAGTTGTGGCTGGAGGGTGGGATGGCGACTATGGCTAAGAGTTACCTTCTTTTTTGCAGTTCCAGCTGTGCAGCAGGCTGATAACGTCAATGATTTCCCCATTACTAAGCCCCAGTTTGTTCCTGATCAGCGTTCAGATTGAGATCAACTGAGATCATGAGCTTGTTTGCATTAAAATCAATGGCAAAACTGCCATAGACTCTTAACTGCAGCAGGATTCCCTTTTTTTATGTACATGATCAAAATCCTTCTCTTCATTGTTCTGCCTCCCATATCAACAGCACCTGGAAACTTGCAGAGTTTGCTTTCAACACCCTAAGCCATTTATTTATGAAGAATGCCACCTAGCCAAGCCAGGATGCTTCCTTAAAACCTACCCTTAGTTTGACCTGAGCTAAAGCCTTAACTCTGCCTTCCCTGAGTTTGAGTTGCTTTACTTCTGAGAAAGAATGTTCATAATTAACTTCATGGCACTGAAGTTAATCATGAATTGTGACATCTGGGGTGAGGGAACTAGGCAGGGTGGAGGATCAGGCATGGACAATGCAAGAGTTGGTAAGGCAGAGGGTAGGTATGGCAGGAAGTAAAGGAGTCATCCAAGAAACATTCCTGAAGTTCATTAAAGAAAATGAATGATCAATTGTGCATCATGGGCCCCCAAAGGAAGGTATGCTGATCAGCTATTTGAGAACTGGTCACAGAAGCTGATTGAAACAGATGTTCATCTTGAGGACTGTTATCTGAAAGAAAAGCTTGTTAGTGGGAATCTTCCTTGGGTACAGTTGGCTTGGCCTTCATTTGCTGAAGTTCGGTATTTCTGGAGGTTGCAGTCTTATGTTCCAGAACTAAAGCTTTTCTGGAAAAATAAATTCTCTGCCTCTTCTGGTTTCAAATATGGGCCAAATCCCACCAACATAGTGGTGTTTGCCAGAACCTACACACTGTTTGAAAACATTCTTCCTGAAGTGCTATGGACTGTACTTTATGAAGGTCTTTCTTGTTGCATTAGGCTTGTTCACATCCTGGGTCACCTGTTATTGAATCCTGTCCCCTTTTGAACTTTTTTTCTAGGATCAATTGGAAGTTGCCTTCTTAACTCCATCCTAAATATTTTCTATTTCCCACTGTGGGTTACCCAGGTTTTATTGAATTCCATCGTATCTTAATTATAGGGACACTGGTTGGAAATCAAAACTATTTTCCCTGTTTTCCAGTGAAATAACATTGCATTGGAAATGCAATGATCTATTTAAATGCTTCAAATAGAGTAGCTATCTATGTAGGTATTTATATTGGAGAATCTGAGTGGCTTGCAATAAATATGCTAGTTTAGCAGGATTTTTTATTCTCGTTCTTGGTCGTCCTCCCCCCACCCAAGGCATGTATTTAGGCTTTTTTGTTCACTTGTCTATTATCATCATCATCACCATTATTCTGGGAAGGCTTTGGTAAAGAGTTTTTGCATTTAATCTTGAATATGGTAAGATTTGTCATCATTCTTGTTTCTCACAGTAAGGAGATTCCTAGCTGAAGGCCAGCTGCAGAGATTTCTTTCCTGTAATTCTTTCTCTTGTTGTCAACTGCTCCATTGTTCCTGATGAGTGCAGTTGTTGTACCAGATCATCTTTTGAGAGAGAGTAGCAATTTATAAGATACTCTGGGCCCAGAGCACTGAGAGTTCTAGAATTTGGGCCCTGCATTTAAGCTAGTATTTAATGGGGAATCAGTGAGAGTCTTTGCTATGGTAAAGGTAAGATCCTCAATTCCTATTAACCAGTTTAGCTCCATTGTCTCCATCAATTTACACCACATAAGGACAATTATTCTTGGCAATTTCTTACCAAGGTAGCTAACATTGTTCTAACTCAACTGGTGTGTGTTAGCAACCTGCCATTGCTACCAGGGGCAAAAAATGCAGCCAGGTGCCCAGGACACCTGAAACGCGTGGGGGCAGTGGTGATTTCTGGCTGCTGCCAGCACAATTGTGTAGCTGCAGTGGCAGCAGTTGTTTCCTACCTCCCCGCCCACACACTCTTAACCCCCCAAATCAGTGCCAGGGCAGCTGCCCCAGTTGTCCCTTAGTTATTCTGTTGTTGGTTACTGTAGGCAAAGCTCTCATGGGCACTGCTATTTAAACTACAATATAATGGCTTGAGTGGCCCCGTCTAATCTGGTGCTACTGAAATTGCTACTTACTGCTGGTAGAGGTGCCCTGGTGTCAGCAGAGATGGGAAATTCTTGTGTTTTTTTAAACCCTAACAAAAACTCTGCTGTAGGCAGGGGCTGACTTGACTTGACGGTTCATTGTATTCCACTTGATCTCGTCTAAACACATAATTTCAAAGGTATAAATGACCCTCTCTTCTTTTTAACTTCTGCACCCAACCTTTGTGCCTAACAAAAGCATGTTGTACAAGTCATGCTCGAAGCTAGAAATGTATGTGGCGCCTGCAGGAAGGCGTCAGTCTGATGCTGTTGGCAGAGGATTGTTCTACACACAATGGTCACAGCACAGAGGCAGGGGGTCCCTCTGGTCTGTCTGTGGCACATTGGTGGCTACTCCAGTGGTTTCTGTTACAAGTACTATGCTCTCCTGTTTCTGCAGGGCTTTCCAGGAAAGCAATCCTTTGAAAACAATCTTTTGAGTCCTCAGGAAATCCAGGATGTGGTAGGAGACAGATGTGGGCAGGCATCAGGGTACAGTGGACATGTGCCTGGCAAAGAGGCAAAAGGAATCAAGACTCTTGGTAGAGATGATATTTTTTATCAGACTAACTAGATATTTGCAAGAAAAATTATTTATTTGCAAGCTATCGGGTACATGCACCCTTCTTCAGGCACATTAGAGTGCAAAGATTGTAAAATTTCTCCTAGGTGGAAATGAAAATTCGCGGGGGAGACGCAGGTAGGCTTATTATCATTAACCGAGCCTCTGACTCGCCTCCGGGATGGGGCAAAAACCTGTGGCCGATCACGAGAGCCAGGACACCAACCAATGAGACAGGCTGTAGTAGTTTTCCAGGGCCCAGCTGCCCTCGCGGGCCTACAGGGCGGGGGCAGCAGAGGACTACAAATCCCAGCATGCCGCGCGCGGGAGGCCATACTATAGCGGGGGGAGCTTCGCGATAAGTATCGCGGTACCGGGAAGCCAGGAAAGTAGCTGGTACGTCCCTGCTCCCCGGGGGGTGGTGGTCACCGAGGCAAGGCAGGCAGGGGCCTGAGTCTGTACGGGGCGCTGGCCCCTGCCGCGGGGTCCGGAGCGGGGCTGGGGGCTCGCTTCTGCCCCGCCGCGAGCGGCCTGGCCCAGAGTTGCCCGGCACCGGGTCCCTGGTCCGAGGCGGACCCAGTGCTGGGGTTTACAGCGGGCGGCGATGCCGGGTGCGGGGCCTAGTGAAAGCCCAGCCCAAGAGAAAAGGCGGAAGCTGCATCTTGCCGCGGGGGTGGGCGGCCGGCCGGCCGGCGCGGGGGCGGGGCAGCTGCCACAGGGTGAGGCGCACAAGGCAGAGCGGTGGATCAGATTGGGAGCGGCAGAGGGCGGGGAGCAGAAAGCAGAGCAGATCAGGAAGGGGGGGCAGGACAGCAGAAAGTAGAGCAACAGATCAGAGAGGGGAAAGGGATTGGAGAGGGGGGGCGGTGCAGGGCCCATCTGTTTCATGCCTGTCAAGGAGGTTACTCTCACAGCATTTATGTCCCATGCATTATTTTCACATGTTGCAAACATTGAACTGGCACAAGCGTCTCATCCTTTGGGTCAACAGTGTGGATCTGGTTGAGGTGAATAGTAACTGTAAACAAGTCTGAACAAGTCTCATCTGATGATTGCTTAGTAGCCCATATGACAAGATAGACCTGTTTTTGGAGAGAGAGAGTGTGTGTGTGGATCAGTCTAATTTGGTGGGCGTCCACAGCATAAAACAGAAGAGCTTCAGTTCCCTCTTTGGTTGCCCATCTTAGATGCAAGGGTTGCAGGAGCTGCAGCCAGTTCCCACGCTCCTCTCTAAAGGCAGGGTCCCTGGGGGGTAGGGCTGAAGCACAGTGGTGAATAAATATGCTTAAGAAGCTTGCCCTGACCAGAACCGGTTTGCTGAGTAAATGGAGAACATCAGGCTTCAGAGCCAACCTTCCTCAGTGTGAAATTCATCTAAAAGAAAACTAAAACCAACCAAACAAAATGTAGAGAGGTTAAATATTGTCAATATTGCAAACAGGCTCTTGGATTACCTCCTATACAATGCTGCATGTATTGTTACATAAACCAAATGACTGAGAATAGCAACTCGGGGTATGGAGATGAAACGTTATACTCAATTAAGTGGTGGGAGGGACGGGACTTGCTGTGTCAAGCTAGTCTGCTGTAACTATTTTATGTATTTGCTCCTATGGTAAGTAGGAGGTAAACTATCTAATTCATGGGTAAACTGCCCAGGATTAGCTTCCATTCACCATGAGAGAGAGCAGACCGAAGAAAGAGTTACTAATGATCAACTGACACACAATTCTTCTCCCTCTCCACTCTTTTAAATTGGTATAATTGTTTCATCTGTCCAAACCCTCATTCTAGGTCAGCTGTATGCACGGTCATGTACTAAGTCAGGTGAAAGTCAAAGTCCTTAGTTTAAGCCTACAAAGGAAAAGCAGGAGGTGACTCATTAGCAAACATTTTACTAGTGAAAGGCAGTTACGTAGAGAGGCGTATTTCACAGCTGACGGTGTCTTTAAGATACCCTTAGGGATATTGTAGTAGCTCATTTACATGATAAAGATTTACTGACACCTTATGGACAACTTGAAATACAATTGATTTTGACAATTCTGTTTCTGTACCTTATATTGGAGGTATTTTAATTCCTCCTTTTTATTGCTGAGAGACATTAAACATGAAAACAGGAACTTGGATGCTGAAAAGCTCAGCTGCTTCTGTTTATTCTCTACCTACAGTTGCCATCTTCTGTTTGTGATGTCACACTTAGTGGGTATGAAAACAGTTGTGACATCACAAGCTGCAGATTATGGCTTCAGGTGGGAATAAGATGTGGGAACAGATGGACCTACAACCTGTTTCCAGGCAAATGTTCTCTATAATAATAATAAAAGAAAAAAACAAGCAATGAAAAGAGGCACAGGTTTTCCTTTGTTAAAAGGTGACTTTGCCTGACAGTTTGAATCTCTCATTTGCTGATGGATACTTTTACAGAAACTTGGGAGAAAAAAATGTTTTCCTGAGAGAAAACTAGTCCATAAAAGGATGCTTTGGAGGCTGTGGAGAAGGGTGGGGGGTGATTTCTGCACTATTTCTGTGATATGATACATGCCTCAGTTTACCAGCCTCTTGACTGCATGGAATTTATAGCAAACGAGTCTTATAGGGAGTAGCAGCCAGGAAGCAAAGCAATTGCAGAAGACTTTCAGAGAGAACAAAGGCCCTGAAAGGCAGAGTGGGAAAGCTTTCTTGGGGGGCAGGAGGGTGCAGGGAATGCCCACATGCCTGTTCCAGCCAGACTATTTTCCCAGGTCCAAGTACTGGATCTGAGGGATACTAAAACAATTAAAGACTCCTACTTAGAGAGGAAGGGAGTGGGAAATGGCTGGAGGTGATGGAGTGAGTGAATGTGGCAGGGGCCACTTCCCCCTACCAGTGCAGAGGCAGGGGTGTCTGGGCTAAGGGGCACTTAAAATTTGTAAGGAAGTAATAAAGTTTATGGGAGGTGATAGTGCCTTTGTACTTGGCACCAGTTTGGCCTCATCTAGAGTCCTGTTCAGTTCTGAGGTCCACATTTTAAAAAGGACATGGAGAAGTTAGAGAGGTTCCAGAGGGTGACAAAAATGATAAAGGGCTTGGAAGGAAGGCAAGTCATACAAGGAGAGGCTGAAGGAGCTAGGGATGTTCAGCTTGCAGAAAAGGTGCTTAAGACAGGACATGATGGCAGTCTTCAAATACCTGAAGGGCTGCCATAAAGAGGAGGGCAAATACCTCTTATTCCTTGCTGCTGAGTGTAGGATGTGGACTAGTGGCTTGAAGTAGAGCAAAGTATGTTTGGATTGGATATTGAGAAGAGCTTCACTGTAAAAGCAGTGAGGCTGTGGAATAGACTGCCCAGAGTAGTTGTGGACTCTCTATCATGGAGGTGTTTAAGCAGAGGTTGGACAGCCACTGGTCAGGGCTGATCTAGGTGTAGGTATTTTCCATGCTTCTGAGCTCTGCTGGTTGCTTCATGGGGCTGGGAGGAGATTCTGCCCCAACTTGTACCCCTCCACCATGTATCAGGGTATTTTAAAGTCTTCCTTAGAGGCACTGGGTGTTGGCTACAGCCAAGGCTGTGGACTTTGACTGCGGTGTGCCAGTGCTTCTGCTGGGACTTAAAAGCCAGAGGGTCCTGGCGAGAGGGTCTTGCCCATCTGCTCAGGGTCAGACCACTTGCCATATTTGGGGTCAGGAAGGAATTTTCTCATATGGGCAGATTGATATGGACTGTGGGGGTTTTTGCCTCATATGGGCAGATTGATATGGACTGTGGGGGTTTTTGCCTTCTTCTGTAGCAAGGGGCGTGTGTGTGTGTGTGTGTGTGTGTGTGTGAAAACAACCTTTACAGCAGCAAGGATGTTGGTGGTTGTGGTCCCCCTGTTTTACCTGTGACAGGTTAGGGTGTTGTAAGGATTGACTGTGTAATTTTGCTAAGAGGTTAGACAGTGGATTTATATAGGATGGTTTGGATAGGGATGATCCTGCCTTAGGCAGGGGGTTGGACTAGATGACCTATGGAGGTGCCTGGCAACCCTGCTTCTCTATGATTCCAGGTATAACTCATGCATGTAAGTCCTCAGGGTTATTTTAGCCTATATCTCTGACTCTGTTCCTATGACTCATAAATAATACAGTTCCGAAAAAACTAAACTGTATTGTAGCCTATGCTTCCTTATTACAAGCTCCCAGGCGAAAGCAACCTCCTGGGGATTATGCTAGATTGGCACCTGTGAGGGAAACAGTGGGAGGAAATAGGGTGCTGGAAAGTACAGACATTGTTCATGAATGGCAGAATTGTGGGACTCTGAGGGAAGGGGAGGCTCAAAGCCTGTCACTAGGAAGGGCATACTCATGAGAGACTTGTGAAGGGTGCAAGGCATAGCACAGCTGGGGACATAAGTAAAACAAAATTTGGGTCAACTTTCCCACTGATTTGGTAGGGAACTAAGGAACAGCAGCCTTGGGCTCTTGACTAGAGGGTGCAATTGACTAAAAGCAGAAAATGAAATGGGAGGCTAGTGCCACTGCCCATGGCGACAGGTCAAAAGAAAAGAGGATTCAGTGGAAGGCAAGGACAAATAAACTGGATTTGTAAATGGCTTCCAGGTTTGCATAGTCAAAAGTGTCATTTAATAAAACGGGGAAAGGAACTGTCAGGGGGAAGAGGGAATGTTTCTTCTCCTTTTCCTCCCAGAGGTTTGTAATGATGTATAAGCATGTCTAACAATCTAGTTAGAGGATAACCTTAAGCCAGTTCTAAAATACCCCACTTATTAACTACTATATCATTGTTAGTATTATTTATATAATGAATTACATGCTCAAAACACTTTACAACCAGCATGCAATTAATGCAGTAAATAGGTGGGTATAGCTGCCATCCTCCTCATTTTATAGGGAAACAGAGTGGGAAGCTAAGTGACTTGCCCAGTGGTCTCTTCTCCCTCTCCCCAGTTGAGCCAGTGTTAGAACTGACAACTCTCTCTTTGATTTCACAGCTCCTAGTTTCATATTCTAGCCACTAAACCAAGCTGCCTCTCAGTTGTGTGGGGTCATACATTAGAATTGCAAAGCTTTTGCCTCCCTTTTCCCTGATAATAAGAAGGCCGAGAGATTCCTGGTGTGTTGTTTTGAGCTTATCACTTCCCTCTTTGCCTCCTTCCAATAGACCTCATCTTTTCAATGCAGCAAGCACAAATTGAAGCTTGGCTTCTTTTTTTAAAGCCCTACTTTCCATTGAGACATCAACCTTGCAGTCTGGCTTTGCCAACACTTCTTAAACCCTACCTACTTCAAGATGCCTCCTGACCTCTTGACGATGGTTGGGCAGCTGGTGTGCTGTGAATGCTGCTTATTGCACTAATCGTATCTGACTCTCTGTTACTTTGTGCATCCCGTGTCTCTCTTGTTTCATCTCCTGGTGTCTCTTCTATTAAGCTTATACCATAACACCTTTGAGTCTGATGATCATTTTCTTGGGGGTGTACAGCTTCTAACACAATGAAGCCCTAAACTTCTAGACACACTACAGTGTAAATAACAATAAGGAGGGAGAAATAACAATAATAATAGTAATAATAATAATAATAATGAGGTTAGAGCTGCTTGTGTATACCTGCCTGTTGATTCCTAAGGCACAGAGGAGAATTGACTCTCTGGATCCATGCTGCTCTGTGTACTGGAGCACGCTTCTCCCACATGCAGACAGAAACTACCAAGCTTGGTTTATTAGAGTTGCTTGCTTCAACAGGGGTCACTTGCCAGCTGATCAGCATGAATCTGAGCTCTGGTTAGCAGGTAGAAGGAAGTGCTTGGATGACTTGGAACCTCTAGCCATGTCTGCCTGAGATTACTCCTGTTCCCTTCCTGCTACTCGGGTAGTAATGATTCCTATTTTGTATCTCTGCAGTGGTCATTGGCATGGCCAGACAGGCCTTGAAAATTTTCTCTTTGGCAGCAGCTACCTCCAGTGTCTACCTGTATGGCAACAAGTACTTGGATCCCAATGATTTTGGAATCATTCGAGTGGGCAGAGCCATTGCCACAGTAAGTTTCATCCTAGCAGCAGTGTGGGAGGGACAGAGTGAAAGGTTTGCTGACTGGGGAAAGGGAGATTCTTGGGAAGGAAATGGGAGTTCACAGGGGTCAGGGGTGGGGGTGGAATTTAGTCTGTTCTTTTGCTATATTTCAAGTTTACCATTGGCATTTGACTCCGGGACTTTGGGTGTTTCTGTGGGGTGTTCCTACAGCCTGAGGAAGAAGTAAAAACATGGAAGGGAATAGAGGGTAATTGTCTGTGAAGCAGAGGGAGCTTGTACCTTATGGAGGAGTCTTCCAGGTCAGTATTGCTGGGAGCACACTCATGTTGCTGTGTGGCTTTCCTTATGCACTGCCTTCTCTCCACTTAGAACTCAGTACTGTGCATTTCTCCACTGCTGCTTCTGGTCATTTTGCTTTTAAATCTCTGTTGCTTTAGGCTATTTCTTATACAGTAACAGATTTTTTTAAAGGATTGTACAGTAGCTGCTGCACAAATACTGTGTTGAGGCCTGACCTGTGATCTTTACCCTAAGTCCTCAGTGTTAAAAACTGTGGGAAGGAGAAGAGGTGTCTGAGCATGTATGTTTGTATGGTGATATTCTTGGGGTAAGGGTGAGGCGGGAACAGCACTCACACTTTACAAGGTTTGATTTATTTCTCTTGCGTTTCTAAAACAAAGTCCAAAGAGACCTACTAGCTCCATTTGGGCATCTTCTTTGGTTTCAGCTTGTTGATCTCAGTATCTAGACACCTGAGAGCTGTGGCTGACAGCCAGATAGGCTGTGAACCTCTGCACAAGTGCTCTCCAATTAATTCATTAAGTATGTAGTAACAAGGTAGATCAGATCCTGTGAAGGGGATTGGTCTGCCCTGCGCCTTGGTTGTGTTATGTGGCTGTCACTTCAGACCAGGATCTCCATCACTTACAGGCCCCTGGTGCTACAATACTGTCGGCTTGCATATCCTGGACCCTTTAAACATTGTGTCTGAGAATTACAAGGGGGCCTCTGCTGCTGGAGGAAACAGGTTCATGGAACGTGGCTTAAGATCTATTACATTCAGGCTGGTGCAGAAAATAAAATGAGTAGTGGCCGAGGCCTGAGAGGGTGTTTGTTTTGGAAGTGCAAGGTGGGAACGTTGACTGTCATCACCCTTTTTTAAAAATAAAGCTAAATGAAGCACTTCCTACCCGATCGTTTCATAGGGCTGCATGATTGCTACTGATTTTCTGTATTATCGCCATCCTCTGTGTTGGGGACATACCTTCATTTTACTGAGGTACCGAGAAGTGACCAGTCTAAGGCCCCGCTGACATCCTGGTCAAACTGTTGTAGCTCGGGAGTCCGTTGCCCTCAGTCTCGATCCACTTGGTCAGTGTTTCTCAACCTGAAAAGAGTGGCCAATACTATAGTCCTATTTTTTTTTAAAGGACTAGAAAGTGTTTTTCAAGAAGAGAATCTCAGTTACATCTCATTTATGATAGTTGCTTAGAGTTTGAGGGGTTGGCTGATTGTTCAGGTATGTCCTTTGCTAGGAGTTTTTTGATTTACAAGTGTCTGACCAAGGCCAGACTGAAGGACTTTGGCCTCACCATGACATGGAGCACACTGTAGTGTCAACCGTGCCCTCTGGCCTTGCCCTAGTGAGGGGCCACCCTTCTCTCCCAGGGGAAAGAGACAGCAGTAGGGAACCCTCATTAATTCTGTGCGTGGGTGTGCCAAGTATGCCATTTGCCTTCCCTATAGGAAGCTATCTGCTGCCAGGGTCCTCCAGAACAATGGGTGTTGGTATGAACACCCTACTGCAGTGGGCTTCAAACTCTTTAAGCAGGAGATCACGTTTGGCATTTAAAAGCAACCCAAGATTTACTGTGCGCTGCTGCTACTCCCCACCCCTCACCCAACAGCTGTCTGTGGGGAGGAAAGGGAGGGGGCAGATCAAGGCAGAGGGAGAAAAAATTATTTGTGAGCGTGCCTCCCCAGCAGGCAAGTCACACCTGGTCAGGGCCCCACTCAGCTCCTGCCTCTGCGGCACTGTCCCTCACCGCGGGGGCCTCGATCTAGCTCCTGCCCCTTTCCTCCCCCACAGACTGACCTGCTGGACTGGGGCATGTGTGTTCATTCACGCGGGCACTCAGCCCCCCACCCCAGCCTTGGAGAGGCTCTGAGATCTACCTCAAGAAGCTCCGAGATCTCCCGGTGTATCGGGATCCACTAGTTGGCGACCATTGCCCTACTAAGATGTGCAGGCCTGTTTGGGCTTCAGGCTGCATGCTGACTCAGCTCATGTCACTGCATTAGTTCACTCTTGTCTTACTTCTGAGCATTTCCTTACAGCCCTGAAGGCTAGATAATTACTGTCTTTTTAATGAAAGCTTAGTTGTCTGTAAACATTTGACTCCTGGAGCTGGTGGCCTAGATAGAGACCTGTTGTGCCTATCCCTTCATTTAGTACTGGGCAGACTCTATTTAATGGGTCAATAGGGTCCCATAATCATTTTTGAGTGTCTCCAGTCATAACAGATAAGCCTTAAATGCTCAAATATTATCCAAAGAAGTACACAAAAATCTGGATACTTAACTTTACCTCCTGAACCCCATCCAGCCACATGCAGGCTGTATTTAGAGGGTTTTGTTTTTTCCCATGGGCTTGGGAGTAACAGCTGCAAAAATGGAGGGAGAAAAAAGCTATGGAAAGTGGGGAAAGTTGGTGGGAGGGAGGGAAGACATAGAGACCATATATTCTTAAACTTGTAGCCATGTTTGCTCTGAGTCTTGCTTGCAGGTTTGATTCAGTTTCCATTTTATCCCCACTGACTCAGCTGTCCCTTGTAAAATTTCCTCACTGGCATTTCTGATATGCCCAGGGGGAAGTTCTATTTGTCCCCAGATTTAGGGAATTGGATTTCACTTGTGTGTGAGGCCCAGTGGAAAGTGCAGGGATACTTGAGGACAGGGATTTTGAGTGGAAACATTGCTTCAGGACATGGTGTGGTCAGTCAAGGGAGGTATGAGTTAAGGAACTTAACCTTGCAGGCCAAGCCCTATAAGGAGAGACTAGAGAACCTGGACCTTTTCAGCCTCTGCAAGAGAAGGTTGAGAGGCGACCTTGTGGCTGCCTATAAGTTCATCACGGGGGCACAGAAGGGAATTGGTGAGTATTTATTCACTGAGGTGCCCCCAGGGCTTACAAGAAATAATGGCCACAAGCTAGCAGAGAGCAGATTTAGACTGGACATTAGGAAGAACTTCTTCACAGTTCGAGTGGCCAAGGTCTGGAACGGGCTCCCAAGGGAGGTGGTGCTCTCCCCTACCCTGGGGGTCTTCAAGAGGAGGTTAGATAAGCATCTAGCTGGGGTCATCTAGCCCCAGCCCTCTTTCCTGCCTATGCAGGGGGTCAGACTCGATGATCTATTGAGGTCCCTTCCGACCCTAACATTCATGAATCTATGAACTGAATGACGTTTCTTGGGATGTTTAAAAACAGACTGTCGCAGGGCACCTTAGTGCCTGCTCCTAGAGAGGAGAAAACTGCCAGGGAGAGAGCCCTGGCAGAGCACAACGAGCCCAGCTGAGGGTTGCCAGGATAACAAGCGCAGCTACGGGTTGCTGGAGCAGCTAAGGGGAGCCAGCTGCCTGTAGGGGGCAGGGCCTGGCCCTTATAAAGCCCAGGGTTGAGGCCAGGCTGGCAGTTCCCTGCCAGCAGCCGGAGAGGCAGGAGCTCCCTCAGCCAAGATATGGGAAGAAGCCTGACTTGCAAGTACAGCTCACGATGGCCCTGAGAGGATTGGGCACTATGGTTTAGCCAGGGGGCTTTATGGTTGCGTTATAGACAGGAGGCTCGAGTTTAGGTTCAGCTTTGATATTACACTGGAGGCTTGGGTGAGACTGTAGGGGTTGGAGGAGGCCTCATAGGGACCCCAGAGGTGTGGGGGCCCTGAGTGCAACCAGTGGGTTGCGGGTGGGGAACAGAGACCCCGGATTGTATGCGGGGTACATAGACCCCAGCCCCAGAGAGGGGCAGCTTTGAGACGCCCCAGAGGGGGCATGACGAGGCCCAGAAGGGGGCACTAGC